TAGCCAAAGCTCTCTCAGCACTATGCAAGAATTACAAGCCAGAAGTAAAAAATAACAAAATGGCATATGAAACTATTAACATAAAAATGTTAAAACAGTTTTAAACAGCTAGAAAGAAGTCACAGTAGGATATTAGACTTGATAAAACCTGATAAATTCCCCATCATAACCTGCCAAATACCTTCAAGGAGAGGATGGTCCTAACCTGGTGCTGGAAAGATGACAATGATAGCACCAGGTGGCTGTAAATGGAAAGAACATTCTACAATTGGGGAGCCACCACTGTGGAAGCCCTCTCCTAACTCAGGATTACATTAACACAATTTCCTTAAAGTCACACCCACCACAGGACAGCTGTGCTAATCAATTGCAGCCAAATCTACAGTCTTGTATGAATTTATGATGACTAAAAAAAGAGATGGCATTTGATTCATGTCCACCATCAGAAGCATTATGTGTTACAGTCAACTGGCATGTGTGTAAGAACATGCAAGGAAGTATACTCTCTGAACATTTAATTAAAATGTAAGCATATGCAAAATAAGTACAGTGATCATTCACAGGGCCATAAACTGGTGACCACACAATCTTCTGTGTTAAGGAACACAGGAAATGGGACAGGAAATCATTGTCTCTATTCAACCATCAATGAATGAACTCTAACTGAGAAACTATAATTCAGTAATTTTAATTTTCTTTTTTGGAATATATTCACCAGCCAGCTGAGGATAGCCCTTCATATATCTGATGAAGTGGATTCTAATCCACAAATGTCATTAAGTGGACAGATAAGTCACAGATCTTTAAATAAAGCAGAACCAGATACATAGCAAGGATTTAGGCTTTCAACTGTGGCATCCCTACTGGAAAGCTTCTATTTTGCGAATGGAGTAATAGGCAGAAAACTCATTTGAAACTTGTAGTAGAAACTAAGTGAATTATATTTGAAATGTAAGAGTGTGGGGAGGGGCAGGGAAGATAAATATTTGCCTTCAAAGGGTTAATTACAATGGGCTTTTAAGATAACTGCATACTGGGTTATGGCTTCTCTTTTAGCAGCGCACAGGAAGGTTCACAAGTAGGATATGAGAGAAAGAGCGAACCATTTCTTATCAATCTGTTCCTTGATTTGGGCAAATCAAAATATTCTGCCCATGCACACTAACCACAATCCAGCATCATGTTGTTGCTCAACTCTTCCAATAAACCTAATGAACACAGAATCAAATTTCCTGCACAGCAAAAACCTGCTGGTTGTGCCAGATGAAGATCAAAGGTATACAATTTCAGCTGCACTTGTATTTCCAGCATTCTTGGCTAATATCCAGTAAGAGTCTTGGCAAAGGCATATCTAGTGGCCTCATATAGCATTTGATTTGTAAATTAATGATGCATTACATAAAGCAATGATTCCTTTTGCTTATCCTGCACCTGTTGTCCCTCAATTAGATGACCTGGATTTCTGCTCTACTGAAAGAATTATTTCTAACATTCATAAGTTTTATAGTCTCTTTTGCATTCCAGCTCTTTTTCCAAACTAAAAAGTTTTAAGGGGCACCTATGTAAGTTTACAGAGAGAAAAGCCTTATAATTCCCAGCATGTCCCAGAAGTTGTTGGCCTTTCTTCAGTCTAAACTTGCACAGGATTGTGCCCTTAAGTGGTTCAGGATTTCATCAGACGGAAAATATTTTATTCCTCTGATTCTTGCCCCACACCGTTCCCACTTTTCTATACCTCTGTCTGTCAGTGCCCTTTTTGAGTCAGCTTGAGAAGAACCCACATGCAAGATCCCAAGTATGACAGTTCTTGCTGTTTCCTTGTCAATTCCCTTCCAAATCTTTTAAAATTTAAATAAATTTTCTACAGCACCTCAAACTAGACTAGTATTAGGATTAAAGATTGGGGTGAGATTAGAGGAACAACTTCCTTGTGGCAGATACCTAAGAAAGTACAATTGCTGAATTTAGCTACAATTCTCTCTTGAATATAATACTGCCATTCCTTATAATTCCAGAAGGCTTTGTTTCAAACACATGGGAACCCATCATTCCAGAGCACTTTTTGCCGTTGGAGGAAGCTTCTCATCCTTTCCTGAAATGCAGCTGCCTCTAGGCTCTCTGGCAACTCAAAGCAGCACTAGAAGAGCGATAAAACAAGCACCAACTGTTCCTTTTCAATTGCTCCCTCTTAAGCAGGCCCCTTCTATTCGAATACAGAGACTGTAGAGTGGACCAATTAAGGACCATTTGTTTGACCCTCCTTCCAATAGCTATTGGAGGATAATGCCCTTCTTGCAAACATTCAACTTACACTTAGAGGCATGCAGGGCTTCTTCTAAGGTTAGAATATTCAGCTAGTCAAGGAGCAAGTGAAGGGAACACAGAAGGGTAGGTAGATGCTCTTTTTCCTTAACCAACCTTTAGCGGGTGAGAATTGCTGAGGGGCATGAGGATCAGAATAAAGCTCCAGTGGAAACTGCAGTTGTTCTTCGTTGTCTGCGGAAGCTTGAAATAACAACAAAAAAGGAAGTATACACATATTAACTTTTACCTTTCAAAATCCAAACAGAATATAGAGAAACTCTATATACTTCATTCTTCACAAGAGAAGATGCTGTACTTATAACAAAGTACAGGAAATAAATGTTTGTTAATTAGTTTACCTAAATGGAGAAGGATGACGTATTAGTAGCAACTTCTTTGCAAAGTTATGCACCAGGTGTGGTTGCAAAGATGCTTCAATTCTCCTCTGCTAAATATGAAAGCTGGACAGGTGCTTATCCTGCCTTAAGGATGCCAAGATAGTGATTCTCTGAGATATGCACAATTCTGTTTATGCCTGTGATATTTTGAAATTCACAACAATGTTCTGCTGGCCTCTATTCTGGACACTTTCTCTGAAATGAGGACTCAAAGAATTTTACATGAAATGGCACTATTTTCAGAAGTACAAGGTTCCATGACTTAGCCCAGTGTTTGCTTTCTGCTTTCATAGTATGAAACATCTAGCTATCTGTGTAAAAGTTGACTCTCATAGAAGCTGAAGAAAGGGAAAAAAAGGTGCCACTTGCAATCAGTCATCAAGCTTTTGGAACTCTTCAAATGTTAGGCAGAGAACACTTGCATCCTTTGGGAACTCCCTGGCATGGCAACAATCACTGGATGATTACCTTAGCCTTGACTCTTTTCCCAGATGGAATACCCTTTTCCAACTCTTACAAATCCAGAGGGCTTTGGCAGAATGCGTTCCTTTAAAATAATTTATGGAATTCATTGCCACAATGGAGAAAACAGGATGATACCTTCTATCCTTTACCTCTAAATCAGAAATTGGAGTTAAGCAGGGAATGTCTTATCTCTGACAAGTGCAGATAAGCACTGGGCTCTGTGCAGAAGGAGCAGTCTGCAGCTTTTACACTTCCTCGGTGACCCGCAGGCAGCCCCATTTGCTGCTTTACCCCCACTAATGGCAACAGTAAAGCAGGTCACTGTGAGTTTTTCTCCTTCACAATCCTATGTGTGTGTCCCTCGTACAACCCCAAGCTGTGTGTGTACAATACCCAGATACCCCACTGTTGGCAAAACTGGATTCCGTCCTTCGGCCCAAAGGGCTGTGCCCTTCCAAGGTAAACTGAATTTCTAGCTTAAAATGCAGCATTCTTCTGACTACTAGCTCCTGGGGTACGATGAAAGCAGGAGAGTGTTTTTACCTCCATCCTTCCTACAGGTTAATCAGGAACATCCTGTTTAGGACCAGATGCTAGATTAAATGGATTGCTGTTTTCAGTATTTATTTATTTAGAGTTTTTGTATGCCGTCCCATCGCTTATAGCCTCGGGATGGCTCAAATAGCAGGCTTCTTGTTATTTATCCCATGAACTTAAAATTTATTCCTGAAATTCCCGAGCCAAGAAATCTCAAAGAGTCATTACTAGTAAAGATTGGGTATACTAAAGTATTAGTTTTTAATTGAGACATGGGGTTGGGATTAAGAATGTGAGAGTTCCATTCTGTCCACTGTGTCTAACCCACCAATGTGCCTGAGTACATAAATATATGATCTTTCCACTCATGGGGGTTTGTGAAACACCCGACATAAAGGTCACAATTAGCACTTAAGACACCCATAATTGATACAAGTTGATGTTTTTGGATTTCTCAAAATGTTTACCTCTTTGCAGTGTTTTTTCTGCAGGAGTTTTAGTTGTTTGTAAAGCTTGATGTTTATCAAATGTTATTGCAACAGCTGTGACAGCAACCTGTAATGACAAATATAAACAAATATTTCTATCTTAGCCTTCATTCCAAAGCTGAAAATTAACTCAAGATTATATCACACACACATACCAACACACATACATGTACAGGCTGTCATTGCTCAATAGTCTGAATGCTCTTAATGAAAGGAAATTTTCCAAGTAAAGAAATTTGCAAAATGTCCTAACCCAGGCACTGCAGATGGGATCCAGACTAGCTGGCTGATGTAAGCTAGGTGCTGCTGGCCTTCTCCCTGCTTGAAATTACGGCCTCTGTGCTATGGTGGCTGGAGTTCTGGACTGGAGCCAAAGGTTCTACTACCCACTTGGCCAGGAAGCTCCCTGGGTGACTTTGGGCCAGTCACTCTCAGCCAACCTATCGCACAGGGTCGTTGTTGTGAGGATAAATGGAGCTACGTACACTGCCTTGGATGCCTCACAAGAGGACAAAAGTGGGAGATAAATAGAGTGTAATGCAATACTAAGACACTTGCATAAGATTGTGCTCTAAGATAGTCATGCTTTAGTGCTGCTGAAATCAATGGGATTCAAGTTAGCTATGGCTAATTTGCATGGATTTTAAAGAGCTGTCCAGGAAGGATGGGCTCGTTCAAAGTGCCACTGGCACATCAGTGAAGGGGCTGTCACTGGAAGAGACACAGGCCAGTCTGTGAAGACCAGCAGAGGGTTTTGATGCTTGTGCTCTCCAACTTGCTAGCTGATTCTTGCAACTCATGATGAAGTTCCTATTGCAGGTTCAGGTGACACAGCAACCAATTGATGGTTGAACAACTCCTAGAAAAAGCCATGGGTTGTCAGGGTGGCTTGTTGCCAAAAAATAATCCAACCTGATGGAACTGGTCTGGGTTCAGATGGCACAAACCTCACCATGGCTAGTTATGATGGGCTGCCATGTTGTGTCAATGTAATGTGTCAGCCTATTTTGTGACAGCAAATACCAAATGAAAAAGCAACAATCAGAACTGTACTTTAGCTTGCTTAAAAACATTCTCTGTGAGATCACAAATCTATTATTTAAATGGAAATGGCAAACAGAACTGCAGTAACTTGAAACCACGTGAAGAATTTAATGCGAACACAGTTAAATGATCAAAGGTAAAATATGTCCAAGATCTTGTAGCAAGTAGTTACCTCCTTAGAAATACATGTCATATTCATCACCTTCAGACATCATCTCAATTCTGCACTGAAAAACTAACATAATTTTCCTAGGCTTCTCATCATCCATATGTAATGATTGGGGCTGCTTTCCAGAATCACAGTCAACAGTGAGAACCTAGAGCGTTGGGAAGGAGCTTCCAGAACATGTGTCTAACTTGACCAGTTTTACCTTTCTAAAATCTGGTCACATCGCATGACAAAGTGAAGAGTTGCAGACTTTAAAAAGACAAATGAACTGGCTTACCTGAATTAATTCATCCTCAGGAAGAGCAACTGTAAAATTCACATGGCACAGGCAACAAGGAATCATAGACCGAAGTTTAAAATACAGGCTCTGTTGAATGCAAGATACCCATATATATTAAATTATCTATTGGTATGCTCTGGAGCAAAAGAAATCTGGGTTTCATTTCCTTGTAACCTAGTCCTATTCTTCACCCCTCACCCCCTTTCAGGGACGTAAGTGTGAGTGATGTGGAATCCACTTTATGAGGTTTGCATGAGTTATTTTCAGTATGCTGTTACTAACACAGTGACTTGCTGCTTGGACTCATGTCTGTTACAGCTTGCAAAGATATGTTGGAAAGGTTGAGATCCTTGGGAATATGCATTATAAGCGTATCTGAGAGGGAACATGTCATTCTCCTTAAGGAAAACAGCAATTCCTCCTTTAAAAGCCCTTAATGGATGAACTGATGGTTTGCTGTGCAGTTGCCAAATTTGTAACTAAATATACTAAATACATCCTCCCTCTCTGTATAAAGCAACAGTGCCTGGTCTGTATGTTGTATTTGCTTCACAGAATATAATTACAGCAACACAGCCGACACACTTTTTAAAGAAAAAGGAAAGGCAGAGTAATGGCACATTCTAAACAGCCATAGCTACCAAAGACAACTAAAGGTTCAATGAGAACGGTTCCAATGAAAGGAACATTCATCTGTCATCGATGGATGACTTGCCTATTAATGGACGTATTCAGATTTCTTTTTCATGAGCGTCATTTAAGCGTTTGCTAAGCCCTTCACCTGGAAAGGACCAAGAGGCTATTTAGTACAACTCTTTGCTATAGGACTGTGCCCACCCATCTACGACCTGTCTCCACAAGCAGTATCAGTTCATGCAGTTCACGCCACAGCTGGCCACAAGCAGAAGTGGGGACACCAGAAAAACTCTTGGAAAAGCAAATACATTAATGACATGAATAGTGTGAATAAACACATAGTTTCAGCAACCAATCCCTTACCTTTAGTAGATTCTCACAGAGATCATTAAAGGCCTTGTTGAGTGTTTGGTTTGTTAGGGTAATGTTGTTAAGCCTGGAGACCCTCACTGATGTGAACATCTGAAGCAAAAACAGTAACTTCAAAGAAAGCTTTAGGCATAAACAGAATTCTATTACATATCATATTACTAATTCAGATGGAGAGGTAACAAGACAAGAACAAACATTGCTCTCAATAATTTAATGCAAAAAACTTGCATATTGTTTTGATTGCATTCTATTGTCGAGAGTTGTGACCTTGTGTAGCTATGTGCAAGGAAGTTCACCACAAAGACTGCAAACAAAATGGAGATATACTGTTGGTTTGCATTTTGGGTGAACATGGATTGTGCAGCAGAGAGTGAAAAGGGACCGAGAACAGAGCTGTGGGTCCAACTATAGGGCTGGAGCAAAAAAGCCCTTATGAACTTGGAGTCAAACACCACAACCATCTTTCACACAACATTCCAATAATCTCAATCTTGATGAGAGGCTCTATGGCGCTATAATTTATTTATTCAAAACTAAGGCATTGAACCAGTTCTACATGGATCGCACCCTGACATGATGGATCAGGTTTTGAGTTCAAGGGTGCTCCTCGAGCCAGCCTGGTCCCTAGGAGGCCCTCAGTGGCAAGTACTGCCATTCACCAGCTTAGGGTAGTGGATTAATCTGACTCCCTCCTGCACATAAATACTTTACCCGCCACTAATTATACCATGATTGCTTCCCTGGTAGGCTACTATAATGTATTCTGTGTGAGGCAACTTCGAGACATTACAGCTGGTACAGAATACATAGAATATAGTTGCTGGAGGGCTCACCAGAACTGCTTACTGGGAATATACCCTACAAATATTGAAAGACCTCCATCCTGCCATTTTCTGAATGCAGGTACTTATAAAGCTTTACATGGCTTGAAAGACATGTTCCTGTATAAACCTGCCCATGCACAAGTAATCTGCCAATGCTCTCGCCCAGTGTCTTGACTTTGAGGTAAGTCAAGAAACGGCTAACCATTTCTATGAATGTCAAACACTTGACATTCATAAGCTCTGTCACTGCTGTAACATTTGACATGTTAACATAAAGCAAAAGGAAAAAAGATCACTTTTCTGTAAACTTTGTTAGTTCAAAAATGTATTGCATACACATTAAGACAATTTTACCTGTATATCAGATGTCCAGTTATTTATACCAGGCATAATTTCTGTGTTACAGCTGTAGAAACCTGCCAGAAAAATCAAGGGTGTGATTAGGATACTGGGGGAGAGCAACAAACAAAATGCTATTGATTAAGAGATATTTTATGGTTTCCCCAGCAATGTGGACATTGTGATTCAGGAACAGCTTGTATGTAAGAGGGGACAGTGATACTCTGAAGTATTTTATTTTGCAATTATGTATGTAACATGAACCAGCTTTCCAGGTTCCAGAGGGCAGAGGAAAGGTTAATCTAGGAACTGACAAAATGCTGGAAATACCAGGTGCCAGCCTAGTACCCAAGACCATGGGGAGACATCCTCCTCCCTTTTGTGTTAAGGGAGTGAGAACTGGCCTCAAGGATGTAGGAGGTAACAGTAATGACAGGCCAAGGACTGGCACCTGGAGCATATGGCCGCCCCTAGGGACTGAGACAGGGGCCATCACTCCAACAGCCAGCTGACCTAGGCTGACGGGGATGAAGCCTGAGGAACAGAGCAGCCCTTTGTTCCTCTCCTGGGAGGCTCTGTTTTGCTGCCAATTCTGGCCAAAGAGTGCTGTGGCATCCCGCATACCCGGTGCTGTTAGAGGGTAGAGTTACTGTGTATAGGCTAGAATAGCAGCTATTTGTTATTTTGCTGTTTGAAAGGGCCAACAAGGCCCTGGGAGTGGGGTTCTTGTTCGGCTGTGACATGTCTTGTTGCTGCTGTCCAATTCCCCCTCTCCCCTCCCCATCTTTCCTGTTTTTATTCTTTTTAGATGCTATGCTTTGGTCCCCCCACTTCTATATTTTGACCTTTTAATACAGTTGTTTGTTTCCCCTAAGCTTGGGTTTGTTGTGTGCTGAATCCAGTGGATGGTCTAGGGTTCTGGGTCTAGGGTCTTTCTGGGGAGGATGTGGCCCAGGTGGCTGGGGGAGTGGAAAATCCCTGCTGGCTTTCCTCTACAATAATAAAATAATGACCTTCTTTATTTGAGTGAATGTATCATATGAAATACTTGTATATTTGGCATCCTTATGATCCGGGCACAAGCTTCAATCCCAAACTAGAAATAATCTAATATTTCCTTAAATTGAGTCAATAAATATTGTGATTTAAAATAAAAAGGAAAAATCCTCTACTTTTAGTTACAGGTATAAATCAGTAATAAGATCTACACAGAAGTACAGTCACAAGCTCTCGAAATATACTGGGTGAGCAATCAGTTTGTATCCAGGACTGTGGCATTGCTAGACATTCTGCTAGCCAGTTAAAACTGTAAACACCAAACGCCCAAAACGTATCACTTGCGAGAGTTCACAGTTTTCACACCTATCAGTTCAAAAATTGTCAGTCCAGTAATTGTGAAGTAGGTCAGTGCATTATTGTCCCCATATTGCAGATGGGTGCTTGAGGCACAGAGATAGTAGCCTGCCTGAAGCTCCTTCAACACCAACAGGAGACCCAACTAGGGACATCTTGATTCACAAATCATACACTGAAAACACAATTGTACACATGTCCCCTTGAGGTCACTGGATCTTACTCTTAGGTAAATTGGTATAGGATTGCAGACTTAGCCACTGCACTGAACTAAAGGCAGAATCTGAGTCACCATTTGAAATTTTGCGCTGAAGCAAAGGCAAAGCAAGAAGATTGTTCAGACTGGAAGTCCAGAATAACAGTTCCACTATTTATTTATATGCCGCGGCATATAAAAAGAGTTCCCCTTCCACTCCCTTAGCTATTAAAGCCGTTGAAACATTTTATCTCCCACTGCTGACCGAAAGGACAGGTCAGGGATTCCCTGCAAGCAGCATCTGAGGCAACGACCTCTGAGGGGTCCAGACAGCGCAACGTACAGAAGTCTGTGTGTACAGCTTCTGGTGGGCAAGTAGTTTCAACAGATAAGAGCACAAGAAAACAAAAAAACATGACCACAGCAGCCTAGTACAACAGCTCTGATGGCTGAAATTAAATGTCATTTAGTCCAGCATCCAGTGGTCCAGCATATGGTCTAGATGCCTCTGGGAAGCTTGTGGGCAACTGAAATCTAGGGTCACTGCATGGCACCAGGCAAAGGCTTGGCGCTGCATCTGAGCCAAGTCATTTTCTCTCAAGCCTCAGGCACTGCTGCAATATTGGGATAACAATTCCGACTCACACAACTGAGTAGTTCCAAAGGCGGCCAAAATGAGGTACATGACAAAAGCTGAACACTCCATGACCCTGCGTTACTTACTAAATGCGGGAGTGTTCCAAGTCCAGGGAACATAAGGACTCAACAGATGGCATCTTTAATCTTACATGGTACAATTCAGTTTATGCAAGAGACAGTCCAATTCAAATTTAAAAGTGCTCACTTTTGACAGGATTGCATGCAATACAGCTGGTATTATATTCTCGAGTAAAAAAAATGTAGTTGAGATAATTTTTCATGCCATGAAGAACACAGATAGATTACATTGGAAGGCTGTCAGAAAACAATTTATGAAGTTAACAGAATTAAGTTAATGAAATTAACATTACTATACCTGAAGGTGGGGGGACATCTGTCAATAAAGAATGAACGTCTTCCATTGCATCTGCATCATCAATCTGAAAAAGTCAGCTATATAAATTTTTTTGCTCTCTGAAATTCAATTTGTCAAGAGTATTAAGGCAAATACTGTGCAGTCATGATAGATAACATTTAAGGCTGTTTGATGAATTCGTAAATTATGTTAGGCCACCATCACTACTCAACTTGTTCCTAAATTTTTTTTACCAGGGTATAAATGCAATGTACTCAAGAGAAATTATGCGTATGAACACTAAATAACTTCAAGCAAAACTGCTGCATGCTTTTCACTTTTGAAGACAATTACATTAATTTCAGATTTAGATATGCCTAATTATAAACAGTTGTCCAACAGTTGTCCAAACACATGGTTCTTTCTAAAAAGAGATAGTTTACCCCTGGTTGCTTAAATCTCTAACTCCTAATTGTGTCAGGAACAGAAACACTGCTATGATTAATAATGCTATAATTATAATAAAAAAGACTAGAAAAACTCAATTAACAGCAAGAACACCAAGTAGTTTCTATACTTATACTTTCAGTAATCACAGACCAATGTACAAGGCAAATACAACTCAGAGGTATTCCCTATGGCAGACATGTCTTCCTAGAATAACCTTCTCAGCTCCCACATCAGTCACAGAATCAAGAACTTCAACGGATTCTGAGCCATAACTTCATGCAATGGCCCATCACCACTTTTCTTCCCTAACCTCTGTGTGCTGAGAGGGTGGAAAAAGGGCCCTCCTATGCTCTGTCACTATGTGTAGAAAAACTGTGGTAGGAGATCTCATGTCTGTATAAATACAAACGCAATGCAATTTTCTGCTGGCACGTTACTTTTCTATAACCAGAAAGCAAGTCAAGCGTAAGTATGATCCTCAGAAATGCTGTAACACATTTGCAGAGTTTAAAATCCCTCTGCATCAGGGGTAGACAACTTGTGCCCCTTTAAATATTCTGGCTGGTATATATATATATATATGTGGTAGGCCAAAACATCTGGAGGGCCACAAGTTGCCCAACCCTATTTTGTATTATGGACTGCATTTTCTGGTGGCACAAAGCTGTGGGTTCCTCTTTGTTTGTACCAAACCATCTTTGTACCAGCGGTGCTGCTTTGTCACATATGTGGTCATGATGATACTATATTGGAGCCTAATGTTAATTTGGCTGCTGCAAATCTTGTTTCCATGTAATTTGAAAAGAAAAAAAAACTAACATAGAAATGTACTGCTGCTTGGTACCATTTATTCCATATGGTCAAGAACCTCTGTGAACTGGGTAAACACAAGAGGAGGAAGGCAAAGTGCAGGAAAGAGCACTGAAAGTCTGAACTTGTTCATGTAACAGCAAACAGCTGAATTGTCAATACGGATCTGACCATCACAAAATAGCACCTTGTTAGTAATAGAGATAGAGAAGCTTATAATTTAACAACTATTCTTTTGGTTGAATGAATTTATTTAACATTTTTCACAGACTAGCAATTCTAGGATTATCTCCTCCAGAATTCAATATGTTGAGCATAACATGCTGGAATTTCCAAACTATTTATTCTAAAAAGTCAGAACTAGAGGGAATTATAAGGTAAAGAAGCTTTAATAAAACTATAACTATTGCATTAACATGAAATGCACTGTTCTATAACAACAACTGGTGGTGTGCTCTATTTTCCCTAAACTCTTCTACAGGTATGTAGAAAAATGGTATTTACAAAAACAGCATACCTCCAAGACAAAAGCATCTTTCTTTCCATGCGAGAGATCCAATTCTGTAATTTCATCAGAACTTTCAGACTGAGATCTTAGCAGCCTAGTACGGTGCTTTGGTTCTGGAATGGGAGAACCTATAATTTCTTCAGATGCCTCCTAAGCAGAAGAGCAACATAAAATTGAATATATTTCATATGTATTACATCTTGCCTAACTGCTGTCTACACACCCTTCTAAGAAAACAGAGTTTTTCAGCTATTGCAACCTCATCATAAGTTGAACATTAGCAGGATCCATGTTACCCCACAGTTCTCCAAACTGCACAGTCCAAATGCTTCCTCTTCACTGGCTTGTGAGGAAGAATGTGAAATAGTACAGGGATATAGCAGTCTACAGAAGCACTAAGCAGCATTGCCAAGGCTGTGATGTTACAGTTCAAGCACTGAGGCAACATAAAGTGTTTGGTTCTTCCATTCTTTCTGCCCTGAAAATGGAAATGAACACCTAACAGATACTGCTTCAGCATCTCCTAAAGACTGCAGAATCCAGTTATTACTTACACTTCCCCTACAAAAGGAAGGAACAAGAAGGGGAAGGAACACTTGGATGTTGTGGTTCTAAAAAGATGGGAGTAGCCTGTGAGTTTCTGCAAGATAAATTGGGACAGGAAAGGTAGAAACATAAACATGGACAACTACATCTAACAAGGTTCCCTTACAGTTGATTCTGCTTCTTGGCACACCTGTTAGTTTCAGATTACGTTGTTGGGTTCTTTGGCATTCCTCCAAAACAGAAGAAGCCAAACCAGGCATACAAAGAGGAAAAGGAGGGGTGGGAGGCAGAAAGGAATGAGCTGTCACAACAGGTCCTGAATTGTTCTTCACATGTGGATTATAAAGATAATTCTCCTCTCCCCTCCCCACAAATCTGACTGCCACCTTAAAAACGTGCATAACTGGATTCTTTCTAAGTACATTTTTTGCTCATCTGCATGGGCCATTCTTCATTCTCCAAGAACAAGATGCAGAGTAGACGCAAGCTGCACTTTGCTCAGAATTACTTACAGGAGGGTTAATCTCATAAAGCTCCTTATTTTTGGCTATTGTGTCATTGATTTTCTTCTGCATGTGGGATATATGTTGTTCGTAAGTGGAATCATTTGGTGTCTTTCCAGCAATTTGAATGCCACCAGGAGTTGGTAGAGCAGTCAGATATACACCTGTGGCAGACTTTAAAGAATAAGCCAGTAAGAACATGAAGCATAATTTATGATCTTGGAACATGTATTCAACACTTTAACTTAAAAACATTTCTATACATATTATGTGTTCATCCTTTAAACATAGACATTTCAATCTAGGTCAGTTCTACAGTCACATTGAGATTGATTCCATATAAAACCAATTTACTAGTACATTTATTGCAATCGTTTTTTTTAAAGTATTACAGTAACACAGAAGTGCATACATCTTACTAGATATTACCCTAGCCACTCATACACTGTGTATGAACTATTCCAGTTGTTCAAAGACTGAGCAATGAGATGAATCTAGCAGTCTATGATTATTCTAGCTCATAGATCACATTTTGTGTTTCAGAAGTTGCATGACAGCATCGTCAGAACTCAATCTGGAAGCATGCCACAGCATGTTAGCAACTTTCAGTAAAAGTCCTGTAGGAAAGGCTTCAACTCAGAACTAAGAGGTCCAATTCAAAGGGATCGCTAATTAACTTTAGATGACTTGATCAGATGACTTAATTCACCTTGTGAATTAATTTAAATCTAACTTAAATTTAAAAAAAAAACAAGCGAACTCCAAAAAGCCCTCCCTAAATGCTTTATCTCAATTGTTGAGTTTCCAGTAGAAAATGATGGAACAAATAATTTATTTAACCAGTTATCAACACGACAGGGACTGTCCTATTTTTGGCTGTGAAGCGCTTTGCACAGCAATTCTTTGGTTTCCATGTCAGGCAGAGGAACCCAGCAACACGGTCTCTGGATCAAGGCCAGGGACATCACAGGTTTCTGGCAGCGTTGTAAAAGAGAGTGTCTGCAGCTGCCATCCTGAGAGGAGCTGTATAAAGAGTATTGGTAAAGATGCCACAAGAGGAGGAAAGGTTTAAGCAGATCTGCACTCTGAGCAAGAAACTGGTGTCTGAGGAATGGGGATGTGGGAAACACAGAAAAGGATTGTTTGTCTTCCTGCCTTCAGAGATAACCTTAATTTCTTGTTGGAACATGCCTGCTTTGTCACCTGCCTGAACCTATCAGCTGGCAATGGACAATAAGTCTAAAGATATTTCATAGCCTTGAAAATCTTCACCATCTAATTTTTAATTAAAAACCTATAATCTTTTTTCTTATGCATCTATTTAAAGAGTGCTTTGATTGATTGATTGATTGATTGATTGATATCCTGCCTTTTTCCTACAAAGGGCTCAAGGCAGCTTACATCATTCTCCTCCTCCATCTTATCCCCACAACAACCCTGTGAGGTAGATTGGACTGAGAGTCTGTGACTGGCACAAGGTCACCCAGTTGGCTCCATGGATGAGCGGGGATGAGAATTCAGATCGTCTGAGTCCCAGTCCCATGCTCTTAACCACTACACCACACTGGCTCTTAAAGATTACTTCTTTGTACCATGGATTTATTTAATATAGCTACTTTTAGAATATCTTTTTCTGAGGGGAGTTTATAGGAAAGAAAATAATAAACTCAAAGATCCCTCAAATCATGAAGGTATAGTGAAAAGACTGGACTGGATTATATGCGTCACAAGCAAGAAACACGTATTAAGGTGTAACAGGTCACTGTGGAACCCCTTCTCATACCTCATGGATGGCCAACTGTCAGCCTGCAGGCCATCTGCAATCACTCGCTAGTTACCTACTGGTGGCTTTACAAAATTTAATTTAGGTATGGTGAAAGTTTCTGCTCATTTCCAAACTGCCTGTTTTTCCTCATTGCCCCAAACAAGCACTAGTTCCTTTGAGCAGCCATCAGTTCCTGCTAGTACACTGTCACAAGCACTATCACTAGGGCACAGGTAGACGCTATCTGTCTTCTTTAATTTGTACTGCAGGCATCTCAACAGATGCAGCTTGCCACATTATGCTGCAGCAAGGTTTAAGAGGCTGATCTACCGGCCCTCAGCTGCACAACAACTGGAGGTAGAGAGGCTGAAAGGCTAGCTATCCCTGGTTTATTTCAAGGGGAATCTATCCAACCTATTCTCTACCTGGTAACTTTCTTTAACCAGTTCTGACCAAATTGACAGCTCTTGACATTTTGTTTTTGTTACATGCCATCAGGTTGTCTCCAACTTAAGGGAACCCTATAAAATAATGCTTTCAAGATGGCCTGTCCTTGACAGGTCTGCTCAGCTCTTGTAAATTCAGGGCTTCCTTAATGGAACTGATCCATCTCACCTTTGACCTTCCTTTCCTTCTTCTGCCTTCCCTAGCAGGATTGTCTTCTCTCGTGAGTCTTGTCTTCTTATGATGTGTCCAAAATAAGACACCTTCCATTTCCTCATTTTTGCTTCTAAGTAAATTTTTGGACTGATTTGATCTGGGACCGATTTTGACAGGCATTTATTCAGTGGCCCAGCATCATCCTGAAAGGACTGTTTGAAAAACTGGAAGAGTGGTATGTGGTAGAATAAAAGAACCCCAAAATGTTAACAGTGAAAACTTACTGCCAAACCCATTAACATTGTTTCGCCCACGGTGATCTGGATTCTCAGCCCAAAAAGTGCATTCATTCCCTTCAGCTTTAGTTTATTCATTAGCTGAGTGTGCACTTCATACTCCATAAACGGCAGCAGATTACTGATGGATGTTGCATTTGCTTCGGCTTGAGCTTTCTTCTTCAGTCGACATAACCTGTCAGAATGAACAATTAAATCCAAACTGGTCTGCTTGGTTTTCAACAAAGACTCTCAACCAGAAAGGAGGAAGCAGCAGGGTGTGTTGGCTAGCAAGGATGTGGCAGCTTTTTGCTGAGCCAAAGCAGAAAATCATGAGACCAGAGGGGTCAGAAGTTCCAGCAAGGTAGTCCCACAAGAGCAAGCAACATTTGCTTGCAGGTGCTTTCTGGGGTTAGACAGCCATGTAAAAAGGCCTGCTGCCACAGGGCAACTATGAAGCAGGGCTATAAGGGTGGCTTCTCCTCCAGCATTGTGCTGTTTGGTTTCAGTGAGAAACACAGGAGTGCACAGAACCTGTCAAGAGCTCCATGGAGAGAATGGTAGCCTTTCTCCTCTGTTTTCCCAGGCCTTCATGGGAGGTGGCTGCAGATCAAGAATGGGGATGAATATTAGCCTCCCGCCCGCCCCCACGCTGCTTCCAGTGTCTGCTACCCAAGATGACACCAGGTTTGGACTGAGTCACTGGCTGAGGTGGCAGGACACAGTTTGCAAATATCTTGCCACATCCCTGTACAAGTTCAGTTCTTTTCAGCCCAAGCCCCACCAAACAGGGACTGATCATGACAAAAATCCTGGATGGGTATGCTCTTCTAAATTACTTGCCTAGCATTTAGGCATTCAGAAACACAGCTTCTAACATACCCAGGGAGGAAGAAGTTCCACCAGAACCTCAAGGCCTTGGCAGACAAATACACTGGCAAAGAGGGAGAGCAACACCCAGTCTTCACTTCCAAAAGGTAATGTTTTATGGGGCTCCTATTAGATTCCTCAGCAACTGGTACATATAATGTCCCTCAGGATTTGATCTTACCTTCCATGTTATTTAATAACTACATTAAACTGCTAAGAGAAATTGTTTGGAGATCTGGGGTGTGTTGTCATCTGTTTACCAGGGAAGTTGTTGGTATAAAGTGCCTTTATAGGTAATGCGTTGAATGAGGGCTGATACACCAAAACTAAGTCTTAAAAAGACAGAGGTGCTCCTGGTCAGAAGAGAGACAGGTTTTGGAACAGGAATTCAATCTGGTTTGGATGGGAGATCAGATAGTACTCTCCTTGAAGAATTGGGTTCCCAGCCTGGGTAACTGTATTCTTATTATTCATTTTATTTCTATGTTACTCAATGCCTGAAGCATTCTGGAAGCTTTACAACTGTTCATAAAACAGGCAATATAATGCAATAAAATGTTCCAAAATTCAAAAGTTTAAAATGTTTTTAAAATAATATATTATACAGAGCAGACGTCTGGGGTCAGATTTGCATCTGAGTGCTCAGGCAGGCTTATACCCAGGAGTGCTTTCCCCCCAGCTTGGGCTGCTATGTCAATATCGTCCTTTCCTGGCAAGATCACACTCGGCCATCGAGACACATGCCTGTGCGACATCTGAGCTGGATTATGGCGCTGCATTTTGCACTGGCCTGCCTTTGACAAGTCTTTAAACTGCAGCTCGTCCAAGGGATCGCATCATCCCTGTCCTGTACTCAGTTACAGCGGATTATCGCATGTATCCTGCACGAGCTCTGTTTCCTACAAGTTTAATTCTAGGCTCAATTCAAAGCATTAGTGATGACATTTTAAAGCTTAAATGGGCAAGGTCCAAGATACCTTAGGAACCATCTCTTCTCATTCAAGCCTATCTGCCCTGTAAGGCCAGACAGAGAATCTCTTCTTCTTAATGTCCAGGCTATAGCTGAGACTCAGGTGAGGAGGACAAGAGAAAGGGCCTTCCCTATACATGCAGTTGAATTTGTGGACCTCTTTGCCCCATGAGGGTCAGATGGCCTTTTTGCTATTCACAGTATGGCAAAAACATTACTGTTTACACAGCCTTGTATCAGACCATGTTTAAATCCAATGCCTCAGCTTTTCATTGTTGCTGTTGTTGTATCTTTATGGTTTTGAATTTTTGGAATACTGTTATATTTTGGAGTGCCCTTAAGTAAACAGGTGAGATGAAAATCTTTGTATAAATAAAATACTAAATTTGTAGTGGCATATACCCAAGTGATATGTCAAGGCAAAGACAAAGTGCCTTGAGGACGGCATGCTATGAGGTCTAACAGACCTATTTTTAAAACATACTGACAACAGAATTATGGCAGGTTCCATTTAAATGTTCACCTTATATATGTGGATCCTTTAGGGACCCAGAAGCACACCCTCCCAACACAGAAGCTCCTAACAAATACATTTGCTTGCGATTAGGCATCACCAAATGTCTAGCTGATTAAATGAAGAACACTGGCTTAATGGATTCCTTAGCAGTATACTGGCTTTCCTGGTTTCTTTGGACATTTTATATGTATAAGGAGAAGAGAATTTAGTATTTTCTTAGGCTAAGCCCAGTCATGCCTACTCAGAAGTATGTCAGTCAAATCAGATCTCTTTCCTGGGTATCAGCCCCAAGAAGGATGTGCCGGAAAAAAGTCGCTTGTATTTGGTAAGAAATGTCCAGACTGATGTCTGTTTCTCATTCCTGTCTTCACTCTTTTTAGAGGGCAAAAGCTTCTTTCAGATGTCGCTAAAAAAGATACTTGCTAACAGTTATCCAAAACAGTGTTTAAGAGAAGCAAAAATCCAGCAGAGAGATACCTGGCTTGAATGAGGCAACCTTTCCCAACTACCATTGCATCGACGGGCAAATCTATTGTTGTGAAAAGAACGTCGGGGACTTTTTGCTTCCTGCAGTTGCAACAGTAAGTGAGGTGAGCAGGGAATGGCATGTTGAGCTCATCATATGGTATGTGGCAAAAGCCACAACCTGGAGGTGATGCTTCTTCTAGCCTAAGAGAGATTGAGAGAAATCAAATATTACCATTCAGGCACCATCTGGCAAATGTTATATACAGCGGTACTCAAATTCTGCTTTTTACAATTAGATCGTTCTTATCACCAATCACCAAATTATGAGCCAAACTGCCTTTGGAAGAGCAGACAGGAAAGCTGTTTTTGTCTTTTAAAGTCACAAACTTTTTTTAAAGTCACAGACAATGAACATATAGGTACATGTGCACAGGGAGGCCAACAAGTTATAAAATTCCAATACACTTGTAACATGTTCATATTTTATCAGAAGCATGGGATTCCCAGCACTGACAGAAGGTCCTCTAATACAACAGCAGCATCTGTTAGTGCAATGGGAAGAGGACCTCAGTGCCCGCCCTTGCAGCCTTCCATGCCATCTCTTACACTGTTCCAAAGAGCCTCAACATCCTCTGGAGAAGATGATGGCTGCAGAGGCGAGGTAGAGGGCTATCTACCCTGCCCACTGACAGAAGCCTCCAATGGATCACAGTGCCTTCTATCAGTGGAGGAAGATCCCTGGGCAGGACACACGTCTAACCGAAAAGGAGGACTGCATAAACAAATTTAGGACATGATCCACTAAAACTGCAATAAGGGAAAGGTGAAGGTTTCCCCATGACATTAAAGTGCAGTCATACCTGACTCTGGGGGGGGGGGGTGCTCATCTCCGTTTCCTAGCCGAGGGAGCCAGCGTTTGTCTGCAGACAGTCTCCGTGGTCATGTGACCAGCATGACTAAACACCAAAGTGCACAGAACGCTGCTACCTGCCCACCGAAGTGGTACCTTTTTATCTGCTTGCATTTGCATGCTTTCGAACTGCAAGGCTGGCAAGAGCTGGGACGGAGCACGGGACCTTTCGATCAACCAGCCCAGCAGCTCAGCAGTTTAAACCACTGCATCACCACATCCCTTTCTTGCCTGCAATAGAGCCCACTAAAAATAGCATATATACATAGTATGAGCAAAATCTCAATTTTTGGCGCTCATTTATTTCATATTCTAGGTATCAGCAGAATGGTAACAACATGCGCCATTTTCTGAGGGCAGAGATGGGAATATAACGCTGCTGATCTCTTAATTACGAAGTGGGACAAAGTATCAAAAAGAAAAGAAGTTACTGAGATTCCATGACATAATTATAGATCCTGTATACATTAAAATAATGTGCAAGTCTAAGCTCATTCACTGAAGAAGTGGAGGAAATACTGGCTTCAGAGAGGAAGTGGAAGGTGCCTCCTAGTCCGGACCCCAAATCAAGTATTTCTTCTGCCTCCTGGAGAACAGCCTGGAGAACACTACAGCGTGCTGGACCACAGAAAGGCGACAAGTAGGGGGAATACTCTATGACTTGGCAGTGTCAAAGCTAGTCAAGTCATTTATGATTTTCTCAACCTTATCAGCCTCTAGCATTGCATGAACTTTGATTGACTTTTTAAAAAACTTATTTTTGTTTGAAAGATTATATATTATTAAAACAGACCTTTTTCAGTTTATCACAAAGCTTGGACTTTAGCACTGACATGAGACCGAGAGGCAGAAAGAGCAGCAAAGAAGGGGGAAAAGGTTTGTATTATGTGGTTAGTAGCCGAATATGTTACCTTATTCAGGTTGTCAGAAATTTAAAAACAATAAGCCTAGTGATTTGGTGCAGAGTTCCACAACCGCTGTTGTTGTTAGTGAAAAATCAGTAAAGTGCTTGGCCCCGCGTCCTGTACTGTAACACTGGTAACCTACCCTAATAGAGAAGAACTATGCTGGTTTTGAGGAAAAAAATCAACCTCTCCCTTCTCTGACCCTATGGAAAAGTAGCCAGGCTGCCATGACAACCTTTGTTCCAAACAGACTTCCATGGTGCCATCCTGGAGAAATCTAGGATTCAGTACAGCTGCTGTGCCGGATGCTGACAAAATACACACCTCTTCACTAATAAAAAAGAAAAGAGAAAGAAGAGAAGAAGATAAATTCATTCTTTTGATGGCATACATTTTCCGGCATCAAAGTGAACCCTGAGGAGCTGAGACAAAACTGAAATGAGCCCTTTGAAGGATATGGGTATGGTATGCAAGACTTTACAAGTATATAGCAGGACTGGGGCAAGCATGTTTTCCCAAATGAACTGAATGACCATATCTTTGCTGCTGTGCAGTTGACAGACATGCCAACCTCAAATATTCTGCATTTAGCTGAGTGCACTAACCAAGCAGTGTAACAAATCTAATCCAAAGTTTTAAATGAGCTCTATGTTGTACTGGACTGAAATACATCACATACTATACATCCAAAAGTCTTTCAAAATATCAGTTTAGAGGCTGATCTAAGACTCCAGGAGGTCTCCTGCTCCAGTCTTTACCATGGAAGGAAACTGCTGAAAATTCAGGGAGTCTGCAAGATTTTTCAAACTATCTACGGCTGTTATTCAGTTGCTGCGGAGGATCCAGACATCCTTTATCTAGGTGGCACTTCTATTATGGAGAAAATCCATTTTCTTAGGACTCAAACCACAAAATGCTACTCCAGGTTTTATCATGAGTGCCTTCTGGACAGGGGAAACATATACTATAAGGACTTACTGGAAAGTGACACTGGTAGTGACAAGCAACACAAGCACTTCACCACCACATATGTAACACAGCAAACACATTGATTTTCCCCATTATCTTTAGAAGCTACATAATCCTCTGCTATGCCACTTAAATAAGAGAGCTCCTCTAGCTTGTAACCAGAGTAAATAAGAAAAAGCTGAACATTAACAAAGGAACTGGTCTCTGCACCAAGGCCCACCCAAGTTCACAGCCCTTCAAAACAGGAGAGGAATACATTCCACCTCTCTGATCCTGCAGATCTGTTGATTTCACTTTCCTCTGACAGAAAGCATGAAATTGACAGGACTCTACATACATTCTCCCAATCTATGAAGTGTGTCCAGAAAGTAATGAGAATGGTATTTTAAAAATTCTTTTACTGAAACATTTTACAATTGAACATTGTCTCCTTCGAAGTATGCTCCTTGTGAGTGTACACAACGCTCCCAGCAATTTTTCCATTCTTCATAGCAACCCTGGAAGTCTTCAAGTGGGATGGCATTCAGAGACTGTGTAGTGGCTCTTTGGACGTTATCCACACTACCAAATTGGTGTCCTTTCAAACCTTTCTTCATCTTTGGGAAGATGAAAAAGTTGCAAGGAGCCAAGCTCGGGCTGTAGGGTGGATAGGGAACCACCGTGATGTGTTTTTCAGCCCAAAAAAACCTCTCTGTAGTCAAAGCACTGTGACTCAGTGCATTGTCCTGATGAAGGATCCAAGCTGAGCCTGTCTCAACTTGTGCCATTGGTACACCTGTGCAGGTGATAGTGCAGCTTCTCCATAAGCTTTCCTCTCCATTTCCAAAGTTTCTGGTGCACTTTTACCTAATTTCACACAATGTTAACACGTACCGCTGTTCCAAACTCGCTCGCATTTTTCTTAATACGAGGCACTTGAACAGAGTGTCACAAAAAAGACTGTCTCGACTCTGGCAGGACTGGAATGCAACTCATCAGTGTTCTAATGTAGACCTGGCACCCCACCCCAAGTGACCTTGGCCAGCTTCTCCCTTCACAGAACCCTTCTCAAGCATAGGGACTTCATTCGCATTACTTTCTGGACATACCTTGTATATATTCTGTGGCCTGTAAAGGATTTATTATTATAGAATTGGAGAGAGGTGGAAGAGAGGATAATCACCATTAGGACCTATGCAATATGAATGTTGGGATATGACTCATTCTTTTTCCATACTACAAAAAGAGGAGCTCTCCCAGCAGCTTTGATCAAAGAAAGATTTGGTCAATGGAAATTCTGCCACAGGTTGCAAAACCTAATCAAGAATGCACAGTGTGCCCCAGCAGGAAGAAGCAGAAGGTCTATGAGAATTCTTCTGCTCCGCCTACAGGGAATAGCAACTAACAGCCAGTCCAGTAATGGATCCTTTGCACAGAGCTCCTGATACCTGTCTGGCTCTGTCTAGTTTCTGTAGCTAAGCAGATATATTACTCATGTTCACATCATTCTCATAAGACTTCTTACTCCCCAGTTCAGCCTTACTTAGATATTATTCCTTGGAATAACTATCTATGGCTTCTTCTGCTTCCATCTTTTTCTCCTGCTACATGAACAGGGCAACAATTATTCATAATGAGCTACAAAAATCAAGCAAATCAAGTGATTTACCAAATGCTAGTTGATTCACTGTAGCCTACTACAGCATGACAACCCAAAGCCTTTGCATGGGATTTTATTTCTTGTCGAATTTCTGCCCACCATGCATCTCGTGTCTCTGGGTCATCTGAAAGACAAAGCATAAATCAGTTCACTATTCTATATAACACTAACAGTTAAAATTTTATGACTAAAAAGGGCATCAATCAAGAAAAGGTTTTTGTTTTCAACCAGGTGATAGACTCTATCAACTAAGTGCTCACTTCTTTCCAACCGACCTAGCTTATGCCAATTCTGTAGCTTTGTTCACCTTTGTGTGCTGACTTGGAACCCCTTCCCCCACTTCATTCTTCTCATCTTTAATTTCCAGAGCATACAGAACTGCAGGGATTCTCCTTCACCCTGCCTCTGCTGTGACAAGTTCCCATACACCCACTTATATGGGTCTTGTTTTCAAATGTCCCACAGCAAGGATACAAAGAAACATGGAACTAGTTATGTGCACTAAGAGGAATTTTAGACTTCTTAAACAGCAGTTCCCATTGCATCATGGTAAAATGTGTTTTGAAGCGGAGGAGATTTATATCACAGTGCAATATGAAATGACCGAATTTTTAAAAAAGTACAAAATGTTCCCGGGCACAACTTCCTTGGCCAAACTTAAGGCACTCTTGGGTTCCAAGCTCTTCTTTTACTACTGTATACTAATGTGACAACCAGCAACCAAAAGACCATTTGGACACCCTTTATACACTCTTTCTGGGTGTACTTAATGCTATTGCTCTCTTCAATTCCAAGCAAACTGACTGAGTTTTCTGATGAAGCACTAAAGGATTGTTCTAATTAAGTCATTGGACATTTCTTCTTATACAAGTAAACAAAATGCATTTAATGACAGTTGTCAAAAATGCAAAGTATAACATTCTTGTTAAATTATATTCTTTTCCAGTACTGAAGTTACAATTGTAAAAATGACTGAAATCTGTGGTCTCCAATTTCTAACTCACATCCTATTTGTTTAGGGTCTTCTCAGAAATAGGTTCCAACTACTGCAAACAGAACCTGAAAGCAAAATGAAGGTGTACCAGGCTAGAAGAGTTGATTCATCATAAGAAAAAAGACCTACATATGCATGAGCAGCAATACTGAGAGAAGGGACTTATCATCATGGAGCCCAATGTGCCTCAAAGTAAAAAGCTATTGCATTTGTTACCATGAATAGGACTTGCTAACCTAGAAGAAAAGTATTAGCAACAACAGTAAATTACTAAGTTACTGCAGTAAAAGGGTGAGTGGGATGCTTCAGGGACTCGCCATCCATTTAAAAAAATTCAAAAAGGCTCATCACAAAAAGAACTGAAATGAATGCGTTTATGAGTTCCACGGACTCTGTAACTGCAAACGCATCGTCCAAGCTTATCCAGCCTGGACAGCACTTTTTTTAAAGAGAGCAACAACTAAACTAACCATACAACAAATACAGTGTCAAGCCAGGAATGAGAAATGATGGCCGCTGCATATATTAATAAAGGGTAGAATCTAATTCGTTCCAACAGGGGTCAACCCAGAGCAAAGGGAACATGGAGAGAGAAAAATGACCATGGCCAACATGGATGCTGCTGCTGAGGCCTAGTTCTTTGTCTTCCACAACATGGACTTCCCGGGTAACTAGCCACTAGCTGTATTAGCTAGACTATGACTTTTCCAAAAGGCTCATTCATTGGCTCATTTAATAATTCTGAAACATATGCAGACCTTGTTTGCATTTTAAAGAGAGATTTCTAGGGCAGCTTCATGCTGTGAGAACTTGAGCATGTGGCTTGGGGTGTGTCCAATGTGGACGGATGCCTTCTCTCTAAGGGTATAATCCTATCTATGTTTAGAAAGAAAGAACACCATTTAGGCAACATGACTGGCTGGGGAACGCTGGCAGCTACAGGACTTTTTTCTGTCTAAGCATGCATAGGATTGCACCTGAAGAACATCTAGTTCCACATAAGGCAGCTTCTGCAGGGATCCAGACAGCAATATGCTTAACCCACACTGAGAACATTTTTTCCACACTGAGAAAAAGCCAAAACTGTGTAAAAATTTTTAAAAAGCGGAAGTGGTTTCAGAAGAACTCTTTAAGAGATGGTGTTGTCAAGCTGTTTATATATGTGCGTACATGGAGAGACTCCATTAGGAGTAAGGCACGACATGTAAATGCAAACTAACTGAATGCGCACCTGAAAAGAATCCCCATGGTGGAGTAGCTGCCTACAGCTCTAGTAATGCTGATGTTATGGCACTCATATTCCATGGTACTAACCCGGCAAAGTAAGGGCAAACTTGCTGGCATAGTGAAACATGGACCTAGTCTATTAGCTACTAAAAAGCTCTGTACATTCTGTTTCTGCTCTATGTTTGAGATGTGTAGTGGGTTCCTAAAGCAAGCAACTGCTTTTTCCAGTCACTGTTGCTAAGCTGGAGCACAGGACAGGCAAACAGGAGTTTGTAAGCTGCATCCACTTTCTTGACAGGCAACTTTTACTATTGCTCCTATTCTCTAGTGAGTGCAAGCAATGCACGGCTTTCAAACCATGTTGTGGTGACTGGAAGCCTGTGAGTCTCCACTTGTTCAGACAACTATCATCCTCCTGGCCACTGACCAGGCTGGTTGTGGGTGACGCTTACAGTCCAACAGTATCTTGAGGGCCACCGATTCTCAAGCTCTGCCTTATCCAGGCTACACAGTCCTTCTGAACTGCGAAAGACTTGTACTGCCACCATGGGTCGGTTTTCCAAGGTGGGGGACTTTCTAGGACAAACACCTTTGGAAGTTGGATAAGACTGAATATTTGTTTTCTCTTTACAGTAAATTCTGAGTGATGTAGTTCTTGCTTTAAACAAACGAGGATATATGGTAGGTGTCTGAAGGGAGAGGATTTGTCCTAACTTATACTGCAAGTTTCAAGCTGAATATCCAAGGGAACAATTCTGAGGACTGGGTGGCAAGTTGCTCACAGCTTACAACCTTCCCCTCCCTAAGAGCAGCCCTGCATGCTGCTCAGTAAGCTACTTTTGAAAAATTCAAAAGGATTCTAAAGAAACAGCATGGGCAATTGCTATTAAGGGAATAAAAACAAGCTCCATTATGATTTCCTAATTCTTTAAACATTTGTAAAGGAGTATTGAGGATAAAGACAAGATTCTGGGTCTGCAAAAGCACGTCTTAAGGTTGAAATAATGACTTCTTTTTTCAAAGTGAGCAAAAAAATCTAACTCAACACAGAAATGGAGAAATGCTTTGAGAGTTATTCACAAGGTGGGGAGGGGAAGACAAAAGTTGTTGTTTTTTTAAAGAATGAATGCCAATTTCCTTCTAACTGTATCATGCAATGATCCCTGGTAAGCAAAGGTTAAGACCATTATTGTCAAAATCCCAGTGTCAACTACTTAGCAGTGGAGGTTTCCTCATTACATTTTTCATGTGTGGCAGCTATGTAGTCACTCAAAATACTGCCCAGCCTTCTAAGTCAAGAAATGGGAATAACAGTTCAGAAAGTCTGATGACGATATGGGATTGGATGAGACTAAGGTGGACTGGAGGGTGGGGTGGGTGGAGGATATAAGGCAAAGAAAAAATGGAAGAGCAATGAAAATACAAGGATGAAAAGTCATAAATAAGCCTTAAATATGGAAAAGTTGTACAGAAAAAAGAATGCCTCAATGAAAGCAGAAATATTGCTAAAGGGTCCCAACACTACAACTCTTCAACAAGAACTAATGTCCTTTAGTGTCCATCTGTGTTGCAGAGTTACAGATGTCCTATTCATGTTGTCTTTCCAGGTATAAATCCCAAGCTCCATTCAGCTGTGTTGCTTTCTTGCAGTATTCTCACAGTACTAGCAATAATCCATGTAGCGTTTGTGGCCTCCACATCAGACACGCAGAGGCCGCTGAGTCACAGCTGCTCAAAAGCTGAAAGCCACAAACCTGAACACTCAGGGAGCAGTCCGGGATCTAGGCAGGATTCCTTGTGGTATCCTGCCATGTAGAACCCAACAATGAATGGCCAAACCAATACGCTACCAGAAGCCAACTGGCTTGATAGGAGCTGATCTTGCTGGGAGCAGCAGCAGCTCCACTCTGTTCAGAAAACCAAATGCAAACTTTTTTTTTTTTTTTAAATGAAACGCCTATTCTAATAGTTTGTTACACTTTCTTGGGAAAGTTCTTTTTGCCTTTTCTACAATATTGGATTTTTGGATTTTATTGGATTTTTATACCCCACACACTGCAACGATCAATGGAAGAATTTTGCATATATATAGAATGAAGTGCATATTCACACACAATATACATACACTTACCTTTGCATGTTAAAAGATAACGATGACTTTAATAAAAATCAAGACACCACAACATGGCAAGAATAGTTCATACCAAACACTGGAATGCAGTGCAATGTGGAGCATTCTATTTTGTTTTTTTCTGACATATATCCACAAGCAGCCTTTTCTTAACACATGAGCACACAATTTCACATGGGGATGCCATCGGAGCATTTACACAGTTAAGTAAAGCTGAGGAATTACATAAACAATAGAGGAGTTGGGGGGAGGGAGCAGCAGGATGGCATGTGTCCAGCACACTGCAGAAAGATGCTGTCTGTTTTGTTCTGGGCTAAAGCAAAAGCTTAAAGAACTAAGGGTTTGCAAAGCAGATTCAGCAGACAGGAGCCAGAAACGGTGGGTATTTTGGCGCATGCTTGGATCAGGTGATAGTACAGACTGAAAACTATGGCAGCTCACTGAAATGGTTACAGAAAGTAATGGCCCTGGAATCTAGGTGAAAGCAAAAGGCAAGCATACAGAGCACTCAATCACAAGCTTTTCTAGCAAAAATCTATTCAGGTATGTTTAGCAGGGGATACCTAAAAACTTTAAAGAGAAGCTTTGCATTTAAATGTCTTACTGCAATTATAAGATTTTTGACAGTCTCATTTGCTATTTTAAGTCCTACAATGTGTAAGAAGTAAAGCAGTAACTGTCTTCGGCACTATGTCTGTAAAGGGACATTGTAGCTGAGAAATGATTGGTGCTAAGTCAGCTGAATTTAAGACCAAATTCTGCTCAAGCACAG